ACCAATGTGGAATCATGTTGGGGGAGACACTTTAAAGTGCGCCATTTTCATTGCAAAATAAAGCCTAGTATGAAATCAAAAGAGGCCTACAAATGTGACATTCGCAAAAAATTAGTAGGCATACAAATTAAATTAACTGTTGCTATTAAAGTTTGAAGCATTCGTAACTTGAGAAAATATAAACATGCATAAGCAAGGCAAATTTCCATTTCATGAACAGTCATTCGGCTTAATATCAATCATAAAATATGGATTACTACAGGGGTATAACTGAGCCTAGCGGAACTGAGCTTACTCGGGTTTGGCTCGATTAGTGACTCGTGAGTTGAGCTCGATGAGCTTATAAGACAAGCTCAAACTATCCCTGGTTAGACTTGATAATTTGTGAGTCGGTCCCATTAAAAAATATTAATATAAGATATACTAAAAATATATTAAAGTTCAAGAGATTTATCTTTAAATTATTAAAATTGTTAAGAACTAATAATTAATATTCTATACCAAGTGATTTATTATTATTTATTTTATAATTGCTTGTTCTAATTATTATTTTATTATAACGCCAGCATGAATCAATAATATTTTCTTGGGGCTTTTACATACATAGCATCCAAAATTTTCATATTTACTTATTTCACCCCTAAATTTTTATAATTACAAACATCATATAAAAAGTGACACTAATTATCAACTTTTAATAGTCAAATCCATCCTTTCATCCATATGTAAAGCGCTATATGTGTAAAAATGAAAATTTAGGTGCGAGATAGATAAATCCATAAGAATTATGTGCTATGTATTTAATTTTCACCATCTTTTTCTTTTATACTTACAAGTTGGCTCATGATCAAACACGAACTCATAGAACTAAGCTTGAATTCAAGCTTTGACTCGATTAATTAGCCAAACTCAAGCTTAAGCCGAGGGCGGGTCAAACTTAACTAGACTTATCTACAGCCTTAGGATATTAGAATTAATTTTAGAGCATTTGGCTAAAATGTAGGGTTATTAAATTGCTAATCAAGCACATTTTCATGAAACACACTTTTGTTAAAAGGCAGTTTCAAATTTCTCAAGACATAAATGGTATTCACAAATTTATAAAAATAATCTCAAATACTTTTATGTTCATCATTGTAAGTTCATGCGCTCTTCTTATGGATGATTTTTCATATAAAGATGAGTATTACTAATATTTAAATCATATTATGATTAGTAAATTAGCAATTTAAATTTTTTATTTATTTTATAGATGCATAATTATTAATTAATAAATGTGTAATAATTATTTAGTAGATATTATAGTTTAAATTTAATGTAGTTTGATGACAATTCAAGTTTTCAGGTCGGGTTCGAGTCTAACTTGAGATTATCCCATCCGTAATCTATTTGACCCAAATCTGACCTAAAGATTAAACGAGTTAGAAAATCAAAACGAACCTAACCCGTATAACTCATTTAACATAAGTCATTACATGTTTTTGGTCCAAAATTGTGTCAAATTTAGGTTAATTTTGAGTCGATCTCGAGCCAAAATCTGGTTGAATGGCTGAACCAAGCCTGAAAATTAAACTAGTTAGGATTCCTAAGCCAAACCAAACTCAAATATGATTCTCTTAACCCGAACTAGAATTTTTCAAGCCAGATTCCAGTCGAGTTGGCATTTCCGACCAATTTCTTACACTCCCACAGTTGATAATGTTTGTTATTTAATAACTATATTTATTTGGGTCTTTTAACTCACTGTCATACTAATTTTTACCAAACAATATCATCTGTAATTATGAACACAATATAAAACAAAACAATATAGCACATGAGACAATAAAAAAATATAAAATATGAAAAGAAAATTTCATTCATTAGAAGTAAATGCCTTTCTAAACAAAAATTCAATGGGAAAGCAATATAAAAGTGGATAATGGCATAGAAGAAAATGATGAGTAAACTTTAAATTTATATATATATATATATATATATATATATATTTTTCTTGGATAGGTTTAACATTAAGATAATGTTTTAAAATATTTTTAGTGAAGGAATGGAAGAGAATTTCTCCTATAATATTACCAAGCTTAATTAGTAGGACTAGGCGCAAATGCCCTTCACCAAATTCCATCTTTAGATATATAATCAAATAATAAAAATCACTGACAAAATAGAACAAGTAGCTATGAACTAAATAATATGATGCATAATTAATATCAAAACACACACACACACACACACAAAGCCATTAATTTGAGGAAGTTCAAAAGTCAAGGAAATGCATAAGGGAAAGATTCTACATGAGCATTTAAACCCAAGGCTAGTACTGAAGAGTGGGGAATATTTTCTTTTGAGTAGGTGAGCGTTCAAATCTAGCTAATGAAATTTATCATTTTATTTCCAACCAATGAGTTGTCTTTCAAAGGAGTGTCAAATCTGGTTTACTAGTCGGGTTTAGGTCTGCTTTGAAATTGACATTACCGATTATGTGTCAGGCAGTTTAACCTGTGATCACCTAGCCTTCAAGCCCAACGACCCAAATTTGACTGACGTAACCTGTTTAACATATGCATAACAACTATCAAGTTTTTTTTGGGTCAAGTTCAAGTTAAATTCGAGTCAATGTTGATAGATTGGTCAACCTGAATCTAACCCAAAAAATTAAATGTGTTGGAATTATTGACTCAAACCTTGCCCAAAAACTAATTAGTTCAATCTGAAAGCGAATTTTCTAAGTCGGGCTCGAAACAAATTGACATGTCCCGTCATTTTTTTATGCCCTTAATTTTTGATAAAATAATAGAAGCCATGTGGGCCATTTAAGCATTAGTTAGGTTTATAATGTCCAATTGACGCACATGGCAAGCCTGGAAAACCAAAGAATATAGTTGGCAGCACAATAGTGGTGGAACTCATGCTCACCTTTTTATGAACTCTTTGCTTTCTGTGGGAGTGGAGCTGCCATTTTTGTTCTTTCAGCTTTTTGTGCTGTGGCTCCAACTAAAGTAATGAGTTGTGTGGAGACCAACCTACCAATTGTTCAATTCTACAATGACAATTGATGAAACATAATTGAATTATATGATAATTTGCATTGGTTTTGTTTTGAGTATAAAAAACTCAATGATCACATTTTGAATATTTTCTTAAGTGCATATGCTTTGTCTAGCTTTATCTTTTGTTAGTTGATTAAGAATAACTTCAAGTTGTTAGATGATTAATTTTTTAGTGTAAGAGTATCCTAAAATTTTGTTTAAGGGAGTGAATTATAATGCATTTTTTTATGGGTTTTTTTTTTTCAAAATTTAATGGGCATATGAACTAAGTATTCGACAAAATACTTGTGGCTCAACTCGATTAAAGCTTGTTCCTGATCGTTTGATGAACTAATCAAACAAGCTTGAGCATTTTCATAAGTACTCAATTGCTAAATGAACAAATTTGAACAACTTGTTGTTTGATTCATTTATGTTCATGAACAATATCATTTATAGCTCGCGAACAAGCTTGACTAAGGCTCTATTACGACTTGATTACTACTCGATCATGAACAATTAATATTAAATGATTATTTTTATGCTCAACAAGCATTGCTTGATCAACCCGTTTATTTTTCTCAATAAGCTACTTATAAAGCTCGATTATGGTTTGATGATAGCTCATTAATTTTGTTAAACAAGTCGCTCATTAATAAGCTTGATAATCTCTATATGAAACGAGCTCGAATCTAATTAGACCCTGGCCTAAAACAAGGTATTATAAATGACCTTGAACTTGAACATTATTTTAAAAGCTCAAATTGAGCTTGAGTCGATCTAAAACATAGCATTTAATAAATGAGCTCCAGTTCAAATGGGCTCTTAATAAACAAGTTCAAGCTTGAATAGACACGTGCTCGGCTCTACTCGGCTCATTTGCAACCCTACTCTGAAAATGTTTTTTTCAATCTCATATTTATGCTCAAACAGAAAAGAAAGATAAATCACAGAAAATTTTGAACAATGATTTCAAGAATTGCCTACCTAATTCAACTTATTTGACTAATTCAATTAAATTGAAATTAAATATTATTAAAAAAAAAACATTGAATGTATTAGGCCAACTTTTGATAGAATTTTCTTTACAAGTAATGATACACCCTCCAAATAAACTCCTAAAAATTATATTGAAATCTAACTTATTTAAATGGATGAACTAAGATGAAGAAAGAAAAAAGAATCGAACATGCATATACTTGAAAGTGTTAGCTGATCTATATAAATAAAACAGATCAATTCCACTATTATTTTTAAAATTTTACTTGAAGAGTGAACACAGCTTGCAACAACAACAAGCCTTTGGGTTGGCCACATAAATTCTCTCTCCATTTTATCCCATTGAGTGCTATATTTTCATTTATTTCTAATGATCCCAAGTATTTTTAAGTCCATCTCTTTCTTAGCATGTTAAATCTAGAACATTCACTCTCTTAACCGGATCATCAGATGGTCGACCTTTAATGTGACCAAACCATATAAGATAGCTCTCTCTAATCTTGCTTTCAACTGGAACTACTCCAACCGTTTCACAAATATATTCATTTCATATTTTATCTGTAAGTGTAAAGCACTCATCCACCTGCACATTCTCTTAATTTTATGCTTCTCTTCTATAGGCCAACATTCTATGCTATAAAATATTAAATGTCTAGCTACCATTATTTTCCTTTTATAAGTCTAAGCGATACTTTTCTATCACATAATAGGCTCAATACATTCCATCACTTCAACCATCCAGCTTGAATTCTACTTATAATATACACATCTATATCACCATCACTTTGAATAATATATTACATTATTACTTATACAGTTCAAATCAAATCACAAAAGAAAAGTAAAAAATGGTCCTCTGCAAACATTTTAATCAAATCCTCACAAGACCAGAAAAAGTGGCTCCCGGTCAAATGTGAAAAGAAAATAGCTCTTAATCTATAAGAACTGTACTATGGAACTTATATGAACTATTCATCAAATGTGACAGAATTGTGCACTTTCTACAATCAAAGCCGCAAATTTTAACAATTTCTTATTGGGAGTTGCTGCTCTTCATTCTACCGTCAAATAAGTTGCTGAAATCAGAGTAGATGGCAATGCAGCTTGTAATCACAGCTATTGCAATCATGGTTCCAGCCAAAAGCTTGTCCTTTCTTTTACATATCCCATGTACATCCCTGTGAAATTAGATGAACAAGACTCATGAAGAATAATAAACATTAAAATATAAGTTAAAAAATATGAGGGTTCAGTTTTCTCCCAGCATATGTCCAAGGGAGAATAGTTAAGATTTTAATTGTTAAGGGCTTGTTTGATATCAATAGTATAATTTATTTTTTTTATTATTTTATCTTGAAAAACATGTTTGTTTAGTGCATTTTTTCGAATTTTTATATTTTATTTTAAAAAACAAGTTGACTTGAAGGTCAAAACGCTTAAAAATTTATTTTTAGTGTTCTTAAAAAAAAAAACTAACGGTGTTATAAAAATACCAAACATGTTTCATTGTAATTAAAAACATAAAAAAAACAAAAAATAAAAATCAAAAATCAAAATCACAATTGATCCCAAATGACCACTAAGAAAAAGGGTAAGCCACAATCAAAAGAGCAATTTGGGATCATTTTTTTTTTTTTATTTGAAATAAAATATGTTTGGCATACTTGATTAAGATATAATTTAAAAAAAAAACAGTCAAAACACCTAAAAATTATTTTGAATAGCATGTTAATTTGTTTTTAGAAATAAAAAATAAAAATATTAAAATATACACTAAATAAACATGATTTCAAAAATAAAATAAAAAATAAAGATAATATACACAAAAAATTTGATGCCAAACAAAGCAGTTGATTATAGAAATAAATCTTGAGATAAAGGTGAACGCTTCAATCCCCTTAAACACCTAGAACCAAGAGGGTATATGAAGAAAAAATGTGATCTCCAACTTACATAGCCGCCTAAACTTTTTTGTCAAAACAAGAAAAGATGTTGTAAGCCTATGATGGATATCATGGTGATCCATGCTTAAGAGAGATGCACATGTATTGAGTAACTGAATATATCTCATTGTCCTTGTAATAAATACCGATCAATCTCGAAGCCGTCTAAAACACGATTCCAAGAGATATCGTATCAAATCACATAAGGGTAACTGAGTCAATATAACAATTCTCCCCAACTTAGAACTATGGCAAAAATATCTCTTTGATTACTCCAAAGTCAAATATTCCAACCTCTCAAAAGTTTAGCATAGCGCAATCTCATTAAGAAAATATTTCGCTTGAACGAAATAAGAGATCTCTATAGCAGAAATGTTGCACTTCAAAATAGTATTACAGAGTCTGAGTGTGCACCAGCTAATTAATTTTCATATCTTTTAAGTGATTGAACCCTAATTTTGAATATTATAATTTTCATATCAACTTGTCCTTAAGCTTGTTCAAAACTTTTTTCTACAATTATAAGCTCACTCTTGTTTGCTTCCAACAATTTGAAGCCATGATTGCAAGTGAAGAAATAACTATAAAAACCTTGAATTTGTGCTTTGTAACACAATAAACACGGACTCTTCTAGTAATCATGACAACTAAGCAACCATTAAAAACCTCAAGAATCTCAAGATGCCCAAAAATTTTTGATTTTGCATCATTATAACACTCGAAGAAAAAGGTTGAATATCAAATTAAGCACATCTTACCCCAACAACTGTCCAAATTACACCTTCAAGCTAATATAAATAGTGCCAAGATCTATCATGTTATGGAAACCATCATTTCAAATACGCATATGCTTATTACATGATTTACAGCAAGGAAAAAAGGAGGACTTGTTAAGAAATATAAGAACATGTTAAATTAAGCACACCTTAATTATTATGCTTGTAGCCTGTAGTCATGCAAATATCATAATCTAAATTAGTCATCATTGTATTCATTGTCTTATCCTTCTAATGGCTGCCATCTATCTTTTGCTCCATCTTCAAATTCATACAATTTCTTTTCAAGTCCCCTTATCGCTTGTGATAAAAACAAGGTTAGTTTTGCAAAACGTCTGGCTTATATAGACATACCCTTTTTGCATTAGTACCCCCATCACTAAAATTCAGTAGCTCTTTTTTCTTTTCAATAAGATCCTCCAGTCTAAAATAATATAATTTGACAAATACATTGTAAGCCCTTCATATCAGCTAAGCGGATGATATCTCTCTCATACAATATGGTGTCATAAATAAACTTCGAGAGAGAAATATCATAACAAAAATTGAATTTGATACGCATCATCAACAGTTACATCAATGTTTCCCAAATCATAAATAATTTAACTAAACTTGATTCACTTGTCACTTGATTGGCAAATCTTTTTGCATGCACAATAAATATAGCTTTTTCTTCTAATAGACTTTTGATGGAGATGTTTTGGTTTATAAATAATGATTCTGATTTGAGCCATAAATCTATCGTAGTTATATCCTACAAGTCCTATATCAATACCTTACCCATCACAATAACATTGTATAGCCGAATGTAGGTGCATTTTCATCCATCTTTATTTTTTTGATCTTCGCTTGCTCGAACCGTTGACATCCTAATAATGCCTTAACATTATCTTCCTGAATAAGAACTTGTGCATCTCAATGTTCTCTAGAGAAAAAAATCTTGTGACAACTTGACATGCTTAATATTGAACTCTATGATCATCGTTATGAGAATTTTGCTCGAATACAAATTTTTCGTAATGACGCTAAAAGATAATTTGTGGAACCATCACCATAATTAAGATAATACATTGTTGAACTTCAACCAAACCAATTTTTATTGGAGAGGAAAAAATATGTGATCCATTAAAGAAAATATAGAAGCCACAACAATAATATAAAACACAAGCCTTGCTTTATTCTCAAATATAACCACAAAGAACAATCTAAAAATCTTGCCAAGAAATTACCTCATAATCAAAGTCTTGTTTCTTCTTTCATTCACCAATGAATATGCCAACCCTCCAAAAAACATACCCAAAAGGCATTTGAGGATCAAGTGACATTACCATAAATCATGATGCTTTTAGATGGAAAATCCAAGAAATCAATGACACCTTATGTAGTCACACAAGCCTTCAAACCAATCCACAGGTAAGCTTGAGATGCAAATCCCAAAGTCAAGTCAATTCTGATGGCATCAAGCGAATTTCCAAAGTCAATAAAACTCTCCCACAAATCCTAAGTGCCATATCAACTCATGCAAAGGATAGTTGATTGAGTAAATATAACACTCCCACAAAATGTGTCCCAATAAATGATATGTCATGTTATGTATAAGAAGATAGATAGATAAAAAAAGGAGGTTTTGGGCCAACTCGCATCTTCTTATAGCATATCTCAGAGTATTATCGCAAATGTATTGGCTGTAATAAATGTGAAAAATATTTCTCACAAAACAAAATCATGCAAGGCGTTCACCATATTATATCATGATTAGGTGATAATATATTTAAACAGACTTTCGACTAAAAAATTGAAGGAAATATATCAAATTAGCCCATTTTGAAATACGATGTTCAAACCTTACTTAGTGACAGAGTCGGAATAATTTTTTTTCTAGCACCATTAGATTCTTCAATTTATTTCCGACCAATGTTCTACACATTCAAGCTTATGATAAGGATAGTATGAGCTCTAAATGATCAAGGCCCTTGGTTCAGACACCAAGATAGCCTAGTAATCAACACAAAATCCACAGGATAGTCCGTTTTCTGGCCTAAGAGGATTTCGAGGACACAGTAAGATTCATGTTGATTAATTGTATGCCTAAAATCTACCAACCAACCACCATGTAACAGGGTTAGGATACAAATCACACAACTGTGTAACTCACAGCTAACAAGTTGTGGCCGCCAACCTGAAAATGACTTGTTAATTTACCGGGCAACTTTTTATCAATAACAAAGTTTAGTTCAACCTCGTACTGACTGAAGAACTCTAGCGTACATCCTAATTTATTAGGCAAGCAAATTTTAAGTTTCAGATACGCAAGTAGATAAGAATCGGGTGGTATGTATGTAAATGCCTCCCAAAAAAAAGTTATGAAGATTTACAAGCATACCACTCAAATCTTATGTATTTATATATCTAAAACCTAAACTTCAAATTTTTACAAATAAGCCACTTTACCCATGAAAAAGGTGTCACTTTTTGAAAGTTAAAATGGTTGTATGTTTGATGTGATATGAAAGATGTATGCAGTATAAATGCAAAAAATAAAGTTTAGGTTTAATTATGTAAATACATAGAAATTGGGTGTTATGTATGTAAATGCCCCAGATAAAAGGGAAAGTCGGTTACCTTAAAACGATGGCTCCTGGGAAGATCAAGGATAGGCAGACTGCTGTGGTTGAGCCGGCGAATTGAAACACCACCCATATGTTGGGAATGACCATCGCTGCCAGGTAAATAAAAACCAACAGCAGAGCAGTAAGACACAAGAACCTGCTAGTGTCAGCTACGAGCAGCAACCGTGCCTTGGGGAAGAGAAGCTCATCTATGTTGAGCCGAAGCGAGTAGAAGATCAAAGGAAACACCAGCACCAGGTGGAGAGCATAGCTCAGCCGGACCACAACGTCAAGAAGAGGGCTCGTTAGGCTCCTATCAAAGTTAGAAAGCACATCGGACATTGTCTCTTCACCGAAGAGGAGGTAACCGGCAAGCCCAACAGTGGCATAGATGACTGAGCAGAGAAGAAGGGAGGCACGCACAGCTGGAGTCATGTCTGAGACACGCCTCATCTCTGCCCGGATTGGGTGTACTGCGACATTCAACAGTTGAGAAATAAACATTTGAATAGATTAAAGAGGGGAATGCCGTTAATTACCGTTGAAATGGAAGGTGAAGGCTACAACAATGACAGGAACGGCAGTGAAGAGCTCCAAGAAGGAATGGTGGGTAAAATCCGGAAGCAGTTTGGGTGTTTGAATGGTGCCATGGAACAGAGCATAGATGGCCATTCCCAAGCTGATGAAAACAAAGACCACCGCAAGGAGAATTGAAACTGCTGATGTAAATCTCAAAGAATCTGAGAATTGCAAGCAATATATGTCAAAACGCTAATATCGTTAAATTCATGTTTAGAAATCATTCATACCAAACAAGTAATAAATAGAATCCGGTTGATAAAGTGGTCAATTGGTTGGAATTCTGCTGAGTGTGTAAAGGTTCGACTTTCAAATGATTAACTTCAAAAATAATTAAAAACCTATCTTTTAGATGTTGAGCATTTGCATACATATCACACAATTGCTATGCTTTTATATACCTAAGGCCTAATAATTCATATTTACATTCATATCACTCGAGTTTTTAACATCACATCAAAAAAATGTGTTGAGAATTGGACCTTATAAGAGTCCTATGGATAAAAAGAGAAAATTGAAGAAGTACAGATGTTTATTTGGAAAACATTATCACACCCTATTTAAGTTTATGGTATGAATGCATATATTAGGTTTTGAACAATTCTTTCCATTTGACATCAGAGCAAAAAACCCTATCCGTCTCTAACGTTGGTATTTGTGTACACGTACAAAGACCTAAAGCTGCCATATGCCAGAGATTCAAACCTGGGGCTTCGAGTCTCTATTCGTCGCATCACTGATCAGTGGTATACAATTGCGATTAGAGCCATGAGAAGGGACGCCGTGGGATGGTCGTGATACAATTGCGATTAGAGCAGTTGAACGACTGTTGTTGGAGCTAGCAGTGACGCCACGGAGGATCACAGTTTCTAGAAACCTTCAACTCACGTCCTTTTCCTGTTTCCGATTCTTCGGGATAGAATGACGGAGTCCGGACAAGAAGTCCATGTCGAGTTCCGATGATCGCAGCGTACAAACTTGAATGATCAAATTTGTGCATGATCTGTGTGATCTAGATTTAGATCATTGTGATTAAGAATATCTAGAGATGGAGATATTGCAGGAGATAAAGATTGGAGCTTATGGGGAGGATAAATCCTAAGATTTTGAAGGTCTTGATCAGGCTCAAACAGGGAGTCATTATTTTGACTGGAGTCACCACCTCAATACTTACTACGACGCAGGTGAAGTTATATCTCCCTCCTGCGGATCTAAAGCTTGATGGACCAGCCACATATCTGAGCTGGTAACGTCGAATTGTAGCGGCTCTAGTAGGAAGAGACTAGAAGGATATCTAACCGAGGACGAGCCAAATAGTGACAAATTTGAGAAGAATAAGTGGAGGACCATACACCTTAATCTACACCTGGTTACTCAACTTGATGGTTTTGTCAATTACATTCTTAGTAGATAGCATTCGAAAGGTGAAGAACACATGGGCAAACCAAGAGAGGATTTATGCTAGGAGTGAGAATCACATGAGAGTATTCTAGATTCAATGTGAGATAAAAGCAGTGATACATGATGATAGATCGATTCAAAAGCACTCCATAGAGCTGGAGCGGTTGTGAACAAATCCTGATCACTTCTCACCAATATTGAATTGTGTTGATCCAGAGTGTAAAAGGAGATCTTTGCATAAATGAGGACTATACAATTTCTGACCCATCTGAACTCGACTTTTGATCAAAGATTTGTCCTTTTAGCTCAGACGATTATCCCTTCACTGGATGAAGTCATTACTGCAATGATACAAAAAATAATTCGCATGAAGCTACACTCTAAGTCGAATGGACTTCCGAGCGGATGATCAGCTTTGGCTAACTTGAGTCAGTTATAATAGGTGTCCAGCGAGAGACTCACAAGTGCTACAGCTGTGGTAAAATTGTGCATCTAATCAAGTCACGTTTTAGGCCACCTAAAGAGAGAGACAGTCGAACGTTGATAAGGTGGAGGTCATTGATAGGGTGGAGGTTGTGGTGGTCAAAAAGTTGGGAAAGGGAGCTACCAAGCAAATTTGATGGTAGCAAAGGGAGAGACATGTGTGGTTTTTACCAATGAGGATTATGAATGTCAAGATTTGTTGAAGAGGAAGCATAAAGCAGTAGGAGATGGGGTTGAGGATACTTCCAACCAGTCATCATTAAGGGGTAACAATGTCACTTATGCTCACTCTGATAAAGATACTTGTGATGCACATGCTCTTATATCTATTTTCACGGTAGGATCATCAGAATGAATAGTAAATTCTGGTGTATCTCGACATGTGACAGATACTGCTAGAGAGTTTTCTTCTTATACTCTAGCAGTATTAGAGATCATCTAGACTGTTAATGGTATAGCATATTGTTGACCTCATTTTTAGTGAGGTTTAGTCTTCCGCTTAGGGTTTAGGATCTAGCCTTAGGGATTTCCCTTCGACTATCTTAGAACCTTAAAAATGGGACCCGCCTCATTTTAAAAAAATTTAACCCGTTTCTGTACTCTTTTGTGGTTTCGCATGTGTGGTATCGACTTCTAACACTTAAAAGGATGAAACCAACATGAGGAACCCAAAAGAGATTCCTATAGGACCTTTTGAGCTGCACAATTCGCACTCCCGCACACATAAACTTCGCAATTCGGAGAGTCGACGCGTCCGATCGCCACGATTCACATCGCTTGCACTGTTATTCGTCGAGGGCTCGAGTAAACCTTTTGAGACGATCGATCGCGGGTCGAAATTTTGTGAAATTTGAATTTCGACGCGTTTTTGACCCGATTGTCGACGACATCGTCCGAGC